CGACCGCTAAAATAAAATCCCCACTGCAGGAGCCTGGGCCCTCCGGCCACGGGACACAGCACAGCAGCGCTTATATTTGCTATTCAAGCCATTTTAGCACCTTCTCTAATAATTTATCACTTAGGGGTCCCCTTGGAGTGATTCAGGTCCTGAACCAGATCCAGCCTTCCCTGCACTTCGCCAGGCTCAGGCAGCTCATCCCCAATCTCAGCCATGGCTCCGCTCGCTTCACGGTCTCCAGCTCTTTTTCTCAAACCAGGAATGTGCATCTTGCTTTTTAAATTAAATCTGCAAATACCAGAACCAGGTGATTTAAAAGCGAAAGGAACCAGAAAAGTTTCCAGTTTTCATCTGCTCGTGAAAATCCTCTCCTCGAGGGTTGTGGGAGTGAGACTGGTCACAGCTGCTGCTGATTAAACATGGCTTGTAAAACTCTAACTTCTTTTTCCATTCCTGTTATTCAATATTTTTTAAGACAACCAGTAGCCTAAAAAAAAAAAAAAAGCTCTGACACTATTTGGCCACGCTCGCTTTTGAGTGAAGCTCAAAGACGTGGTACAAAGCCAAGGGCAAGGTTGTCAAATGAGCCTCGGATCTCATTTCTCAAGATCCCCACCCGCAGTCAGGACGAGCGGGTCAGCGCCAGAGCAGGCACCTGCATTTGCATTTGCTTTGCCAAAGCATCGTACGTGACATCTTATTTTGTGACACATCATCAAAACTTGAAGAGTTTGCCCGGAGCTTCTTCAGTCCATAAAGAGAGGGCAGCTCTCCAGACAGCTGGTTGGGATGCTGGAAATGTGCAACTTTTACCCCAAGTTTTTATTTCTCTAATGAAGTAAATTTTACTCCTGAGAATGCCATTGAATTTCAGATTATTTCATCCTAAAAAATGAGTTCATCCAGGGGATGCATCTCAAACCTCATCCTTGCACCCCCAACATCTCCCCTCTGCCCCTGTTTCACTTTCAAACCACCACGCACTGCATGTTTCAGCCATTTTATTGAACTTTGTGTATGAAATAACAGTTTCAAGTTCTAATGAAAAAAAAACATTAAAAAAATAAATTCAACATCAGGTAAAAAAATCACGCAACCAAAAAAAAAAAAAAATCACTTTTTTTTAACTGGTAACTGAACACAAGGCCCACACCGCGGTGGAGGTCACCAGGACGACGGGATGCAGTGGCTTGTTTTAGCATCAGACTGGTATCAAAAGAACAAGTTTAAACAATTCCAACACAGCTCACTGGCAAAACCGGAGTTTAAAAAGAACTCAGAGTAACAAGACTGCACTTTACATCTCTAGTCCAAAATTGCATCTTTCCTGTGGCACCTAATTAGTCAGGATTGAGTTTTTCAGCCTGATGCACTGAATTTGACAAGGCAAAATTTCACTTTTCAAATATACCCAATGTGTGTTCCAGTTGAGACAATCATGGAAACATTTCAGCATTAGCCAGCTGGGAATGCGAATGAGGGAAAGCAAAGTCAAAATTATATCCAGCCATCTCAGTCCCAGGAAGATACCGTGAAAATAAATTGCATAGTAAATGGAAAATTAAGAAACATGAGCTGCTCCCGTGTTGGAGGTCGATGGTTGGTGCAACGTCCCCCATTCGCAATGTTTTGAGAGCTCAGGTGATGAATTATGAGTCCGTTCTCCTTGAAAGATGCTAAATTCAGCTGTGGGAATATCTGACCTTCAGCAGTGAAGGTGATTTTCCTGCAAGACCCAAGCAATCTGAATAACCGAGTCGCATTTCCAATACACTAATGGCAGCGAAAGGGACATGGCAGCAAACACGTTGTTTTTCATTAAAACCGCCCCGTTTCAGGCACTGCTTTACATTTTCCTGGCTACATTTCCCCTTAATACCATTTGTCTTGCAAGTCCAGCTCTATCAATGACTTGTGCATTGCCAGATAACTTGTTCTGCTCCGAAATCATCCTCAGGAATAGGAGTGATGCGTTTAAAACACAGCATCAGCCTGGCCAGAGATGGTGCGTTATGGAAACCCCCAGTGGGGGACAGCGGTACCTCAGACCCTTTAAAGATGCACTGATGATGTCATCTTGGAGGAAGCAGAAAAAATGAGAAAAAGAAATGCAATTTACCTCTATCAGAGGCTGGTGGATGAAAATACGTGGATTATAGAGATGTGTAATTTAATTCACCCAGGGCTGCTATTTGGTTTTAATCTCAGCTTAGAGGGACAACTTTCTAGCTGACTGTGCAACGGAAAGAAAAGCAAGAGAGTGGGGAGCATGCTGGCTCCCAAAGATTTTAGCAGAGAAAAATGTTATCCCACAAATTAATTTTAAAAGGATCCAGTAGCATTTAAACATCTGTCTCAGAAAACATCCCAGTGTGTGCATTAATTAAAGCCTCCAGGGTGCTCAGAGGCTGCTTTCTGAGATGTTAACATTGCAGGGATTTGGCAGCACCTGTGGAAAGAGGCTGGAGGCCGGGATGGGACCGCAGGAATCCTGACTTCTCCCCCAAATTTAGCAGGGCAAGCAAAGCAGCCTTGTAGCGTCTCATACGTTTTGTCTCTGAAAGCTTTCTCCAGCCGTGCTGCTGAGCCCCATCCCGTGTGCTGTGTCCACTGAGCCTTTGTTAGTGCCCTTCGACACTTTTTGAGACATTTTGCTTTCTAATTCTGCTCTCTTCTTCAAAAATGTTAAAACATCTTCTTAAAACAAGTGGTTTTCCTTAACCCTATACCAGCCCAGCTCCCTCGATCTGATTTTCCTGCGCTATCCACCAGGATGGACCCAACGGCAGAGCTCTCATCACTGCAATTGCACCCTAAAATTAAAAAGGGGGAAGGGATGGCGTTGCAGCGTTTGCTGGAGGCAGCAGCTGTGTTGGGTGCAGAGGAGAAACGTCTACGTGTTCAGCGTCTAAAGAGCACGTCTAACGCGCGGCATCTCAGAGATGCTCTCAGCATCTCGGCACATGGCTTTGAAGGGCTATGAATAAAGATGAGCAGCCTGCGTTTGGATGATTATGGGAATCAATGCACGCGATTTTTTTGGATCTTCTCTTGATGTCAGCCATCATTAAATCGTTCCCTTTTTTTTTTTTTTTTTTTTAATTGACTGGATACATTTTTAATTTGTCTTCCCTTGCCAAATGCAGCCCTCCGCTCCAAATGACATTTCAACGTGGCTGTCCTGATACGATGGTTATCTTTAAAACGCACAAGAGTCAGAGTCGTGGCAACACAGATTAATATACCAGGATGACAGTTAAAGACTATCAAACTCTCGATTATTTTGAAAAAGCACATTAACAATTAGCTGGCTCGGTGACCAAGCAAAAGAAACCCAACAGCAAGGAGCAACGTTGTCAAGGCCAGTATGTACAATATCAAGAAGAGGTTGAAATTTGGCAAGATTGTCATCGGTGTGAGATGTCCGTGGGGTGGGTTTGGTGCTGGCCGGGAGGAGCGGAGCGGTCAGTGGCCGCGGGCTGAGCTCTGCTCTGGGAATGGGGCATTTCTGCTGCTGGGACCCACCAACCCAACTGGGTGAGGGGATCTGGGTTTTCTCATCACTTTGCTCATTCAAAATACCCGCTTGGAACCATAACAGAGAGACGTTTTAACAAAGTGGCTACTGAAAACAGACAAGGTATAATTATGTTACATATACACATGCCATAAAAAAGCTCTCCGAAACACCTGTGAAAAATAAAAATAACTTTAGTACTGATACATTCTATCCCCCATTTTAAGGGCTACTAGATCATGTTCCAAAAGAAACTAAATTTAACACCTTTGGGACCAGGGCTTCCCAAGATCCAGGTCTGTGTTGCCATCCAGAAAAAAACAATTATCCTCCTGTTAATGTGCCGCTACCCCGGGGATGCTGGATCTTATCTTCAGTGGGTGCTTTGCTCAAAACCATCAGCATGGTAGAAAAGCCCACTGCTAGCCCATCACGCTGTGTATTTTGCATCTCCTTAGTGGTTTTGGAGGTGAGATCTTCCCAAAAAAGCTGAGCTCCATCTCGCCCAGGCTGCTGGCAGCTCCATCCCTGGCAATGGGGAAGAGATCGCTGCTTGTTTATTTGGGGTTCCTGGTGATGGGAAGAGCCTCAGCCCTCACTCCCCAAACACTGGGGACTTTTAATGATGTTTTTTAAGGGGTCTTGTTAAGGTCTTTTTAAGGTCTCAGACTTTTTATGGTCTGAGCATTAATTAACTTTGGTGCTGGGGTTCTGCAGGATGAGACAGCCTGGGGGGGACAGAGCTCGCCTCTGCAGGAGACAGGGGGTGGATGCCTGGGAGGTGAGTTTGGGCTGTGCCACATTAAGACACAGCTGGCCACAAGGCAAAAAGCTCTGCAAGCCCGTGGCTGTGCCACGGTTACTGCTTGATCCCGGGGGCTTTGCCCGCAGAGCAATTTGCTGGAGGATCCCATGGAGGAGCTCCCTCTCCCCATCCCTGTGGGCTGCCCCTGGGCAGGGCAGGGCCAAACACAAAGTTAATGAGAGCCACTGCTCCAATTAGCTTTAATTTGCGCAGATGGCTTTCACACTGGATTGATTTCACACGGCAGGGTGCTTCACCTCCATGATTCCCCCGCATCCCCCTGTCCAGCCTTGGCGCTCCCAGCTCATCTCCGTGGGCTCAGGGACCAGCTCCTCGGGCTCTTCCAGCAGCCCTGGTCCCCAACCCACCGCCCTCCGCACCTCAACAGCTGTGATAAAACCGGGCATCAGCCCTTTCTAATCCCTTTACCCACAGCTCCAGCGGCCCCAGGGTTTCTACCATGCTGGGAATAAACGCCAACAAGCCCAAGGAGCAATGTCCCACTAAGGGTCAGATCCGTATTTGCTTTTCATCCCCCAAGGTGAGCAAAGCAGCTTTGACTAAAACTGCTAGTTTTTTCACTTTTTTTTTTTTTTTTTTTTTTTT